GGGGAATAGATACCCGCCTAGAAAGATGCTGGCAAAAGTACTAAATTGGCCCTTGGACTTTTTAAGTTTGAGCTTTGGTTTCTTTAAATTATAAAGTTATAAGTTTAAGCCTCTTAACTCTATAGCTTTAAGAATTTGTAACTACATTGAGAAGTCCTTAGTGGCCAGTAACCACCTATGCATTGATAAGGACATTTTTATACATATAAAAAATATAAGATTCAAGTTTCACTTTTGTATTTTAAAAAAATTCATAGGACAACAAGTCATGTGAGTGACATCTTCCCTCACCAACTATCTAAAATTCCCACGTCACTACGCACATCAAAAAATTTTTCTACCCAACATACCACAAAAGCTAAAATCTTTAAACCCTTCAACTCCACGACTTTCAAAATTGTGACTGCTAAAATCTTTAAACCCCTCAACTCCACGACTTTCAAAATTGTGACTGAATTAATGGAAAAAAAAGGTCATGTGACTCATGTTCTCCGTCACCCACCATCAAAAATTCCCACGTCGCTACGCACACCAACAAATTTAGGTTATATGTTAATTTTGGTCCCTCAATTTGGTGAGTTTACATCATTTTTGTCTCTCAATTATTTTTTGTATTTTTTTGTTTCTCAACTCCCAAAACTATACACCTTTTATCATTCTATTAGTTAACTGACAAGTAACAGTTAAAATATTTCAAATGACATTTTTCTTAAATTGATTGATGACATGTAATTACACATCATACCACAAAAAAAAATGTTACCACCCTAAACCCTAAACTAAGTCAAGCATCCACTAATCTCCATTGAACCCACTTATTATAATTATATTTATTACTTTTATAATATCACATAAATGCCCCTCTTACCCATTTTATTCCCAATTGATAATCCCATTTCTCCTCCTGTTTATCTTCATCAACTCCGGCAACTTCTCCCTCTCCTCAATTTTTCCAGCAACCTTTTCCTTCTTTTTTTTTTTTCTGGTGTCTACTTCTCTTCCTCTGCCCTCTCATCTTTTTTTCAAATTTTTTTGGGTTTATGTTCATGAACCCAAATCTAGATTCGTGTTCATGGACATTCCCCTATCTACTTCCTCAAACCAACCCCTTTCCTCCATCTTTGTGAATTACAATTGCGTCACGTTGGTTTCCTTGTGCTCCATTTCTGCCTTGCACTCTTACATGTTGTTCTAGAAGGCTCGAAGGTGTGGCCTAGAAGTAGCATATAGTGGTTTGGCAAAATGTGGAGAATTGTGGTAGTTTTAGATTTGCAATTGTGTTCTTTAGAATTTGAAATGAAAAGGAAAAGAAAATTGAGTTGGAAATATGAATTCATAGAAAGTTGGATTTGGGTTCGAATAATCCAAATTTCAGGAGTTGT